TTGTCTTTCCACATGTAACCTTATTGAAGCTTGAAGATTTACCAAAACTTACAACTTTCTGTCCTGAAGTACATACTTCCAAATGGCCAATGTTAAAAGAGTTGGTCGTGATAAATTGTGACAAATTCACTTCAAAACATATGAGCTTCCAAGAAAATAGTGAGGAGGGTGAACTTAATATATCAGATCCAAAATCTATCTTCTTGGATAATGAGGTACGAATCTCTTATTTAATTTTGTTTATTGAAAACGAAAATTTACTTTCTTCATATATATTACAAAAATTATTAACTTTTTAATTATGGAATTCTTAACATCTCTATTTTTCCTTGGAACAAAAATATAGGGGGAAAAAAAGAATTAATGGTCAGTTGAATTTAGACAGTTTTGTTTTGGGAATTTACACTTAAACTAATTAATCTATCTAACAGAATATATTGTCTTATTATTGAAAACATTGTCAAGAATAACAATTTCATATATCAGCACATGAATCATGGGTTAATTACTCAATCAATCCTCCAATGATTTGCTTAAGGCACGACATATGTTTTGTTTTCTTTCTAAATTACCTTGTATCTTCCTTTTATGTAAACCTTGCACTCATGTATATATATGTCTGAAACTGATCAATGAAAAACAGAGCTTTCATGTATCTTCTTGTGAGATTTTGATTTTGTATATATTTTCATGCATATATCAAGCTAATGACCTTGAGCCAACAATTAACTTTTGCTTTAAGATTATAAAAATCTATCTAATTTTGTTTTGTTTTGATGGATATGCAGATTAACTCTGATTTGCATAAAATGGAATTAAAGGATAAGAACAGAGTGATTCAATGGCAGAGTCAATCTAAAGTTCTTAAGATCTGGGATGATGTGTCAGCAAATATTCCATTTCAACTCCTTCAAAGATTTAAAAATTTGAAAGAGCTTCAACTATTTTTGTGTGATCAATACAAAGAAATTAAGTGCCTATCTGTTCTTCCAAATCTTAAAGTTCTAAATGTAAGTTGTTGTTATAGTTTGATGAGTCTTGTGTCATACTCAGCTTCTTTCCAGAATCTTAAAGTTCTGAATGTAAGCGTTTGCAACAAGTTGATGACGAGGTTAATAAAACCTTCAATGGCTAAATGTTTGGTGCAATTGAGAGAAATGAGCATATGTGATTGTGGAATGGTGACAGAAATAGTAGGAAATGAGGGAAATGCAACAAGTGAAATTGTTTTTAACAAATTGAAGAAGTTGTCACTTACATATTTGGAAAGTCTCACATGCTTTTGTTCCGGAAATTACTCTTTCAATTTCCCATCTTTGGAAGACTTAATTATATGGAATTGCTCCAACATGAAGACTTTCTCCAAAGGAATCTTAAGCGCACCAAAGTTACACAAATTTGATTATGAGAGGAAGGAGAAGGATTTAGTGAATGGGGGAAGTGAGCTTAATACAACCATACAACAAGCACACAAGAAAAAGGTATACGCATTCAATTAATTAGTTTAAATTATTTTTTTAAAGTTAGTTTGTGTATAGGTTGAGCATTATTGTTGAACTAGTGGCCAGCACACACTTAGACACCTCACATCACTACTAGGATATAGCAAACTCCGTCTATATTTTTCTAAGAAATTTCTAAAACCACACTGTTTTATAAAATTATTTCTAACAACCATTAATTCATCATATTTTATTTTTCTCGTTGGTTCCTGTTAAATATATATAAAATTATTATATGTTTTTAAGGGAAATATTAATTTTAATTTGATTGACATAATTTTTCTTTAGGTTGACTCCAGTTTGAAGGAATTGACATTAACATTGAGTGGAAGGGACATCAAGTCAATTTGGCAACCAGAGTTTCAAGAGAACTCAACTGTTCAAAATCTTGATATTCTGGAGGTGCAATATGGTGACAATTTGACTACTCTATTGCCATCTTTAGCATCTTTTGAAAATTTGAGAACTTTGAGGGTAAGGTATTGCAATGGATTGCAAAAATTAATGTCATTTTCAACAGCCAAAAGTCTGGTACAATTAGAATTCTTGTTAATAGGAGGATGTGAAAAGATGACAGAAGTATTAGGAAATGAGGGAGATATAGAGAAAGGTGAAATTGTTTTTGAGAAATTGAAGGAGTTGTACTTGTATAATTTAGAAAGTCTCACATGCTTCTGCTCCGGGGAGTACACCTTAAATTTCCCATTCTTGGAAAGATTATATGTGAGTGTATGCTCCAAGATGAAAATTTTCTCTGGAAGAGGCTTAAGCATGCCAAGGTTGCAAGAGTTGAATTGGAGAGATTGTTCGAAGAGTGACTTTTATACAATCACACAACAGTCACAAAATGGTAAGTATTCATTTACTTAATAATATACTTTTTTCGTATACTTCTCCGTTCTCCTTTATTGACTTAATACTAGTCAATTCTCAATGGTCTTTATTATCAATTTTGTCTTTAATTAAAATCTTCTAAGTGAATCAATTATAGACTATCAATTTTACATAAAGAAGTTACAATATTAGAATTTATGTTTCCTTACGTTAATATATTACATGTTTTTGAAGCATATATTGAAATAGTAGTTGAGGAAATTCCTCATTTTTTTGTTTAATTGATCAATTATGATCAATTTTAGAGTCTGAAAAAAATATTCTCTATGGTTTTTGCATCTTACTAATAATGTGTTGTTCTTTTATGATTACAGATTGTTCAGAGTTCTGTGAAAGATTCTTAAACCGGTTACCATTAACATATGATGAAGAAGAACTTGACTAGTTAGATAGGAAATTGTAATGTTCATCAACACACAACAAAGTCATGTGGACCTGTGGTAAGTCTGTGGTATTAGATAAGTTGGCATTTCTTTTTAAACAATATTCTAAAGAATATATACAAGTTGCTTTCGGAAATTCAATTGATTATATAGATTTCGAGGTTATTTTAAGAAATTATAAGGTTAAATGTTATGTTAATTAAACATTTAATGGACTATTTCAATATTCTGTCAGGACAAAATTGAAATGATCAAAGCATATGAGGGACTTTAGTTATGTCATCCTATCATATAAATCCACTGAAGAAAATGTAACGGTGGTGATATCAGATGCTCCGCAACAGAGTTAGGTGTCTCTTTACTTGGTGGCTAACGGCGATATCCGGCTAAAGTCAAGTCCTCTTTAGTATTCGATCGCATGGCTTTAGTTTAAAGTCAATTTCAAATGAGTCGTATCGACCGCACGCGTCCTCTCCCTTTTGTTCTTCGTAACCCTTTCAAAATCGTCGATGCTGTCACCAATTCAACCGTCGGCAATTGAGGTCATTTTTATCATTTCAAATACTTATCATTAAAACTAATAGAGCATATGTATTAATATTTGTTAATTTTTTAATTTCACAGATGAGATGCCAAGTTGTTCCCGAATCTGTTCGCAACGATCGGAAAAACTAGTGCCAAATGATGTCGGTTAAGCTTCAAGCAGATTAGAAGTTGAAAATCGGTGTTGTATTTGTCTGGGCTCTAGGTGACAGGTGAACATGATGTGGTCATAAATGAAGCTGTAGTTTTCAAACGTGATTTGTTTGAAATGTTGTTTGAAAATGTGATTTTGGGTTTAGTCAGTTATGAGCCAAGCAGAGGAGAGTTGTTCGGATAGGGACTCAATATATGTTTAAAGCCTGTCTTTCTCTTGTAGTCTTGTTCCTTTATAAAGCCTTTTTTTTTTTTTTTTTTTTTTTTGTTTTTCATTTTGGTCAACACCTTTGTGGTTCAAAAGGCTAGAAATGGAAATACTTGTTAGATGGTGATCTTATATTCGTATACCACATACAACTGTTTAAAGTTTTTTCGTTTGCTTGGGTTCTATATGGTTTGGTTCTTTGATGTGTAGTGGTAGTAGAAGTGAAACCCTTTAACCCTTTAGGGTATGTAACATTAAAGTTTAAGGATCTTCATTAACTATTGGAACTGACTACTGTATGAATTTATGACTGGGTGAGGATGACCATGACGAGCAAAGCATATTTTTTGGTTATTAAGAAACTGCAAGTTTGTGAATTGACTACTAAGTATATTGGGGGTGAAGATGTTGAAGGGGAGCAATGGCATGATTATAAATTTTGGATTATTGCCAACAAGTAATTTTGGGTTGGTACAATAGATAAAAATATCAAGGGTAGAAGTAAGAAAATCATAACTTCAGCTAACACATGATTGTGAGAATGTTAAAACAGCCCATGGCGTGCTTGAATATTCTGCAAGGGCGTGATTAAGAAGAAATATGTAAATCAATTAATATGCTCATCTTAGTCATCTTAGTATAAGTCTCTAGGGTTCTGGTTGCTACCTTTTTATGTTTGTTGCGTACCATCAGTCACTAATTGAAGTTTGTAGTTCAAGAGATTTTTGAACTTTATCACCTTGGTTCTACATGGATTCTTTTGAACAAACCTTATTTAGTCAATGCTCAACTGTACTATATGTGCTTATAGGTGTTTGAAGTTCAAACTTTGGCAACTAATATATTGATTTGTTGTTTATGGAATTTGTACTTGATCCTAACAAATGCAGTCGAGTTAGCTTGGGCGAGAAAACATAACTGGTTTATGGCTATCGTAGTTTGATGTCTTAATGTACTCAGTTCTGCTTCTGTTTTCTTCAAAGGTGACGGGAAGTTTCCTACAATGGTCACTGGTTGGAAAAGTTTGTTCCCCAGAAAACGTCAGCTTATATAAGCCAAGAAGATACTTACATGAATGTATTTGTCTAGTTACAATCTCATATTTTGTTCTATTTGCTGCTGGTACAGTATGAAATGTTCATGATAATGGTTGTATTAACAGGCAATTTCTGCCAAAGGACAAAAAAATTACCCTTCAAATAGATCATGTTCTAAAGGTATTTCTCTTTATTGAAGTGTAACCATACTTTATTTGGTTGATTTGTATCTGTGCAAATGCTTTAAAATTTATATGTTAACATCTTTGTGGCTTCATAGGTCCTTGGACTCGATATCTGTGCTGACACAATGGTGGGAGGTGAGATGAGAAGAGGCATCACTGGAGGACAAAAAAGGAGACTGACTACAGGTAATTTTTTGCAGAAAGGTTGAAAGTTTTAACACTTTGTACAATGCATCTGCTCCATGTCATCACTTGGTAGTAATGCTTATGAAATAACTGATTTAGAGGATTAGATGCATTTGATGATAACCTTAGAAGATCATATGCAGGGGAGATGGTTGTTGGTCCCACATATTTATGGATGAATCATCAAATGGTTTAGACAATTCAACAACATATCAGAATGTTGCTTGTCTGCAGCTGCTGGTGCATATCACAGATGCTACCATATTGATTTCAATTCTTCTAACAGCTCCAGAACCTTTTGAACTCTTTGATGGCATCATTTTGATGGCGGAAGGGAAGATTGTGTACCAAGAACCACGTGATCAAGTTGTATAATGTTTTGAGGACCGTGGACTCAGATGTCCTCAAAGAAAAGGTGTAGCTGACTTTCTTTAGGAGGTAAGTACATTACAACTTACAGTCACTTCTTTTCCGTGCTCAAATGTTAGTGGTTCAGTTTTTGTCTTCAGATCTTTAGTAGCTGAACTAACATCCAACAACGTGAAATGGTGGTATTCCTTGTCGTGGTACATTGGAAGTGACGTTGCATTCAAACTTAAAGGAAATGGCCATAAATTCAAACTTTGATTCTTTAACAAGCTGCAACAACTTCACTGTTTTTGTCTTCAGAGAAATTACTAGCATAATTCCAGTCCTAGTTTCTCCAAATATTATGACTTTATTTGTGTTTATTAATATGTTTACAAATAATGCTGTACATAAAAAAATGATAAGTTGTTGATATCGAATCATTTGTTACGCCAATTCATCGTTAATATGATCCTGGCAAATAATGTTTAAGTGTAGTGTGCATGTGGCCCTAATGATCATCATATATAGAGGTTGCAGCCTTTTCATGAAAGTTGGCAGAAATATCTTGCAAAAGAAACAATATTTGAAGGTATTAATTAGAAATCAAAGTAGTGAATAGTGATAACCAACATAATTTATGTCTTGAAAGACATGGCGGTGAGTTTTTGAAGAGTAAATTCACAAAAAGAGATTGTCATTATGTCGCAAAAGTGAAGTTGTTAGATGGGGCTTGTAGAGGTTTCAAAGTGGATGACGTTGGCTTTAACCCGAATGGCTTGTTCCAATCCCTAATAGTTTGGCTTAATCAGGCACCAGGTCAGACCTAAATTAAAAGCCAGGAAAACTAATGGGTTGGACTCATTAACCGTATTGGATTTAGAGTGTAAAGTCCCAACTTAACCAAAAATTTGAATGTCAAAATTAAAATAATAATAATAATAATGATGGTGGGAAGACATAATGAATTTGCTAGAATAATTATTCTTATAAATATTTACGTATATTCCAAGAAATATGCATTATTATAAAGGGGTGTTCCCTTTTTAGACTGTATTCTTAATTCTTTTTTATGCGATTACCAGGTTTGCTCACACACACACAAAAAAAAAAAAAAAATAAATAAAAAAATAATAATAATAATAATAAAAAAATAATAATAATAATTTCAAAGTACTTTAAGATACAAATAAAATAACATTTTACATAATGTTACAAAAAATAATAATAATAATAATAATAATAATAATAAAAAATAATAATTTCAAAGTACTTTAAGATACAAATAAAATAACATTTTACGTAATGTTCATAGTTTTAGTCTTGAAATGAAATATATCATAAAACAATTCCTCCGTTTAATTACCACATGCCTGATTTCAAAGGGTTGTTGTCTAGTGAAATACTAACATCCAAAAATGTTTGATAAGTTTGTTAATATTGGGAGAAAGTTATACCATTTGGAGGACTTGAGAATAGAAAATGTTTGATAAGTGATGTTACTTTATACTTAAGGGTTAAAACATGTAAAATCTCATAAAGATTTGTTAGAGTTTTGTTAGATTTGTTCTTGATAATGCAGCTGTACAGGATATCTTCTGCGCTTGAGTGAAGAAGAAAAAAGGCACAAAAAGAACTTTCTCTCAATTGATTTGATATAGTTCGTTACATAGAGAGAGGGAAATCTTTCCCTTTTTATACAAGAGCTGAAGCTAAAGGTAAAATAAGAAGAAAACTGTTTACAACTAATTAATCTTTTAGCAAAACGACATCATTTTGTAAACCAGCATGCTGCTCCTGTTGCTTTGCACGTTTACACTTTCATCCCTTTCAGTCAATATTCCCTCCCAAACCAGACTACTCCAAGTCCACCAGTTTTACACTTGAAATCTTCTTTGCTCAATATCCCTGCGCAAACTGGACTGCTCCATTCTTTGGATCTATACAAGGGACTTTCATGACTTGACAACCAATTTCTATAAACCTTCATAACAAGTAAAAAATTTGCACATCTAAAAAAAAACTCAAGATATGATCTTTGCAAGGGAGAATGCTGAAACAGACTTCATTTCAGTTCCAAAAAGAAATCAGACTGCTCAATTGTGAGAGATATAAACTTCACAACCAGTTTCCAGAAAACCAAAACTGCTCATCAGTGAGGAATACAAACTACACAACCAGTTTCCAAAAACAGACTATGCAGAACGATTTCTTCAATTCATTCATATGCTTGAAAAACCAGTCCATCCTTAGTCAAGAAAAAACTTGGCACTCAGAGAAGTCAATGCAGCATTCATATTTGATTAGACTGCAGCATCTGCTTGAAAAACCAGTCCATTCTTAGTAAAGGGAAAAAAAAAAAAAAAACTTGGCACTCAGAGAAGTCAATGCAGCATTCATATTTGATTAGACTGCAACATCTGCTGAGACAACATTGAATTTCTGCCTTAATTCACTAAACTGAGCAGTAGACAAGGGTTTTGTTAATAAATCAGCAATTTGCAACTTAGATGACACATACTGAATAGCAAGACTCTTGGCTAGTACTTCCTCTCTTATATAATGAGCATCAATCGCGATGTGTTTTGTTTGGCCATGAAATACTCGGTTAGAAGCAAGAGCCCCTGCACTAACGTTATTACACCAAATAACAGGTGTTGTATGTAAGGAAATGCCCAATTCAAAAAACATACTCTGAAGCCATGCTATCTCAGTGGCAGTGTGTGCTAAGGCCCTGTATTCAGCTTCAGTGGATGAGAGAGCAACCACTTTTTGCTTTCTTGAACTCCATTGTATTAAGTTAGGACCCAAGTACACGTAATACCCACTAGTAGACCTTCTGTCCTCAATGTTGCTACCCCAGTTGGCATCAGCATAACACTCAACATGAAGTGAACTGGCAGGTTTGAATTGCAGTCCAAAATTCAGTGTATCTTTAATATACTTGAGAACTCTTTCATAAGCTTGCCATTGTAAGTCAGTTGGTGCTTGCACAAACTGACTTAGTCTATTCACAGTGAAGCTAATATCTGGTCTAGTAAGAGTTAGATATTGTGAAGTCTCTATTGTGCTTCTATACAAACTTGGATTCTCAAATAGACCACTATCAGTGCTACTGAGTTTGGTGCCAACAACCATGGGTGTAGAGCAAGAATGGGCTTTTGTCATTTTTTGTTTTAATGAGTAAATCAGATGCATATTCAGACTGATTGAGATGGATTCCAACAGGAGATCTTGTTGCTTCTAAACCTAAGAAGTACTTGAGTGATCCTAAGGTCTTCAAAGCAAATTGATCATTTAAATCCTTCATCAATTGAGCAATATAAGCCGAATTAGATCTTGTAATAAGGATATCATCTACGTATACTAACATATAGATCAAATTTGATTCCAACTTGAGAATAAACAAGCTTGAATCAGAGATGGACTTCTGAAAACCTTTATCCTGAAGGGCAGTCTTTAATTTATCAAACGAGGCCCTAGGTGCCTGTTTGAGACCATATAAAGCCTTGTTTAGCTTACACAAAGGAGGGATATGCTATAGACTCAAAACCCATTGGCTGTTTCATGAACACTATTTCACTCAGAGTGCCATTAAGAAAGGCATTATTCACATTAATTTGCTGAATGTCCCAAGCATTAGTAACAACCAAAGTAATGACACTCCTGATTGTGGAAGGTTTTATCACTGGGCTGAACGTTTCAAAATAATCTAACCTAGGAGTTTGCTAAAATCCTTTTACCACCAATCTAGTTTTGTATTTTTGTAAAGTACCATCTGCATTGAATTTGGTCCTAAAAACCCACTTATTACCCACAATATTCATGTCAAGTGATGGAGGTACTAAGGTCCAGGTATCGTTTTCTAGAAGGGTATCAAATTCTGCTTGCATAGCTACTTTCCATACTAAACTATTGAGAGCTTCAGTTGGTGAAACATGTTCAGGTTTTGTGATGGAACAATTTAACATAACATATGCTGCAGGATCAATGAAACTGGAATCTTGAACAGATACATTAGCAGTAGCCTTGGATCTTGTAATCATGGGATGCGAGTTGACAGTAGCACCATGCTGAACATTAGAGGACTTAAAAGCTGAAAGGTCAACTTCTAGGTGACAAGTAGGTAAGTTGTTAGAGGATGTAATGACAGGTAATTGGAAGATTGGATCAGACTTTGGATTTGAAGTGCTTGGAGAGTTTATAGAAGGTGCAGTAGTATGCATTTCTATGGTAGGAAAGGCAGATGGAGTGGTAGTTGGGAAGTTTGGAGAGTGTATCAAGGTGTATAACTGCCCATTATCCAACTACTACCAACTTTTGATCACCAACACTTGTCCCAACATAACCGATTTAATTCTATCTGTTAATGTCCACATTATCACATGTTACTCAACAACAATTCCATACCCTTACTCAATAGCAGTTCCATACCCTCCCATGCCAAACCTTACTCAACATACAACCAAGAGCACAAATAACCCAACAACAGACCCACAATGCACATAAACCAGTCACAAGCAAGAAAAGGCAAACTAGTAACGCAGTAACAAGAGAAAAAGGCTATTTCATTAAGATTCTAGAATTTACAAGATAACAAAAAAAAGAGATAAAAAAATGGCAACACCTAGCTGGTCTTTTCCCTTTTTGCCCCCTTTTCCTTTCTACCAGCACCCCCACCAAAAGCTGATCCTTGTTGGTTGCCAAAACCTCCAAATCCACCACCACCCGTAGCATAATTCTCTCTAATAATTCAGCATCAATTCTTTTATTACTGGTCATATTCAGCACCATCTGTATAGGCTTTTAGACGCCTGCCAAAAAAAAAAAAAAAAAAAAAAAAAAAAAAATATTGAATAAACAATAAAGCATAAAACATTGATAACTAAAGAAAAAGATTATTGTGAAGTATACTGATTTCATATTCATTAACATATCATATGATCTCATACATTAATAGTATCAAACAAAAAATTGAATAAACATGTATTTTTGCATATATTTTTCAAGAAAAAACTTAAACTCCAGATGGATGCATTCTGAGCCATTGGGGACCAAAATTATAAAGATCATTCACCATAAAGTCTGTGTTAAAATTATTTTCACCAGCAGCTGTTAAAAAACACACATAAATGGGTGCTCTGAACTTTCACAGAAGAGAGTAGAAAAGAGGGGCTCGAGGCTTGCTTGCATATTGCAGGGTTGGTTGCGCGTGGGTAGCCTTGCAATATGCAGGCAAGCCTCTAGGCCCCCCTATTATGCTCTCTTTGCCAACAAAAGCCATTCAACCTGCCACAAACAACCTCCTGAGGGCCTCCCTTGGCTTCCTCGGTCCTCTGGAAGCCCAAAACACCCACTCCTCCGATGCCCTCCAACTGCTCGACAAAATGCAACAATGACCCTAACAACAAACCCCAACCAAATATCCCCTAAATTGGCACCAACAACCAATAATTTCATAAAATATGTAGATTATTACTTGTTCTTTCTCTTCTTCCACCTTCTTGCCAGAATTTGCATCGACATCCTCCTCTTCATTTTCAATTTTGAGTCCTGTCATCCCTTCTTTTGTCAGTGGGATGTCTTTTGTTGGCGCCATCTCCTCTACCGACGAGGTGTCCTCTATCAGTGGAGCAACTTTAATCATCGAAAGTTGCTCCACCATAACCTCTTTTTCTCCATTTTTGGTAGACTCAGTGGTGCCTACAATTTGCGGAGTGGATGAGTTTTTTTGGTTTCTTTGTTCATATTTGAAAAGAAAATAAAGTCATAGCTCATAGTAATAAATTAATTTAGCTAGCTACATCAATAACATATATATATTCTGCTAGTTTCATGCATATTGGATAAAAACTTGATGTTAATTATATATTTATGCTTATCCTTGAGTAATTTGCAGGTTGTAGTGTTGGCATTGGTCGTTTTTACTTTTCATAGGAATATGGTGGTTGTACAAGTTCATAAAAAGAAGAAAAGCAAACAAGTTGAAGCAGAAATTCTTTAAAAGAAATGGTGGTTTATTACTACAACAGCAGTTGTCATCCAAGGAAGGTAACATTGAGAAAACAAGATTGTTTACTTCAAAGGAATTAGTAAAGGCCACAGGCAACTACAATGAAAATCAAATCCAAGGTCAAGGAGGCCAAGTCAGAGTGTACAAGGGAATGTTAGCGGGCGGAAAAATTGTAGCCATTAAAAAGTCTAAGATAGTGGCTGAAACTCAAGTTAATGAATTCATCAATGATGGGGTAATAATATCTCAAATTAATCATAAAAATGTGGTTCAATTACGGGGATGTTGCTTAAAGATAAAAGTTCCAATTTTGGTGTATGAAGTCATTTCTAATGGAACTGTCTTTCATTATATTCATGGCAAAAATGAGGAATTTCCAATCACATGGGAGCTACGTCTATGCATTGCATTAGATGTTACAGATGCTTTATCATATTTGCATTCAACTACTTCCATACCTATATACCATCGAGACATTAAGTCAACAAACATACTCTTGGTTGACAAATATCGAGCAAAAGTTTCAGACTTTAGGACTTCTAGATTTGTTACAATTGGCCAAACTCATTTGACAACTCAAGTACATGGGACCTTTGGATATGTAGATCCAGAGTTCAATAAAGTCAATTTATTGAAAAAAGTGATGTTTATAGTTTTGGAGTTGTTCTTGCTGAACTCTTAACCGGACAAAAGCCGATTCTTTCAACTAAATTTGTTGAAGATAGAAGTTTAACTTCATATTTTCTTCGTGCAATGAAAGAGAATTGACTATTCAATATGCTTGATGCTTGAGTTTTGAAAGAGTGTGAAAAAGAAGAGATTATGACCGTTGCTAATCTCACCAAAAGATGTTTGAATCTAAATGGAAAGAAGAGACCAACAATGAAAGAAGTAGCAATTGAATTAGCTGGGAATATTAGAGCACTGAATGGAGCTTTATTTGAGCAACAAAACTATGAAGAGGTTGATTTTGTTAATAGTGAGATAACCAATCACTATGCAACCGGTTCATCTTTGAGTACCAGATTGTTTTCTAATCATGTCACTTTAGATGTTCATCCTCTGATTTCAAACATGCACTAAAGGGGGAGAATACTTGTTTATTATGTATTTCTTTCGATAAATAAATTTTTGTTGTTTCTGCAATATATTCTACTTTTATCATTTATAAACTAATGAAGTTATTTGATAATTGGAATACTAAATTTTATGTAACGCGATGTTGAACAATTATAAGTATTACTTAAATTGTTCGAGTAAATTTAATATCTTCCAATACAATAGCCAATACTCCATTGATCATATGCAAGGAAATAAGGGGCTTGGGCTTTTAGTTTTCACTTTCATATTGTCTAACTCAATGAAGTCTTACGTCGCCACCTATCTGTTTCTTTTACAATATCTCTTCCTTTTTCTGAGGCTAATCTAGATGTGGGCAGGACGGTGGTAGATTTTGTTTTTGTTGAAGTGTAAAATAGGAAATAGGATTATTCTCTATCTTCTATATTAGGTTAGGATCAAAGCTATTAAGAATTAGATCGATTATATTAGGAATGTAATTATTTATTTCCTAGATTAGGTTTGTGTTTTGGTTATAAATTCATTGTACATTTCATTATGAATATACAAGAAAATATTTCTTCACATGGTATCAGAGCTTGGTGTCTGAAATTTTAAATTTTTTTCTGTGAAATTTTTTTTTTTGGCAACTGTTCTTCGGCGACTGTCTTCGGCAAAGATCAGAATCTGGTCTAATCACACCAGACTGATCGTTTTCTCCTAGTCGTCCTAACCTGAGTGATTTCGTCGTTGGCCGTCTCTACACATGCCCTCACGTGCCGATCGTTTTTTCGACACCCTCCCCTCCGATCTGTTTTTCCAGCAAGCGTGAGTTCTCACCACCACCGGCATCTTGTTCCTCTCCACCTCGCCGGCAAACCCCTTCAAGGTGTTTCCTTCAGATTCTGCTCCGATTTGTTTTTTGCAAGCGTAAGCTTCTGTTTTTTCTATCAGTTTCAAGACAATCATGGATTCTTCAAAATCAGCCTCTCATTCGCATCCAAGTGGTTTTTCTTTTGTATCTCTCCCTCCCATCACCATTGAGCGATTAATTGGGACTGCTAAT